ATGAATCAAATCAGGGGCAAATTAGACAGTTTCTGAGAATTCTACTGAACTGACATTTTATAATAGTCAATTAGGTGATGAGGGGTGACCTGAAGCTACAAAACAAAGACTATTTCACCTGGTAATTTCTTCCTAGGCTTGTCTTCTGCTCACTTTATCTATTATCACAATTCCTATTCAACATTTTCTAGGAGGTCCTAGATAGTGCATTAGAGAAGAAATGAAATAAAAGGTATAATGTTTGGAAAGGAAGAAGTAAAAACTGACATTTGCATTTCTGATGATAGGAGGGTATATGTAGAAAATCTGAAAGAATCTATAAATAATTAGAATTAATAAGTCAACCTGGCAAGTTTGTTGAATACAGGTCAATATAATATTCCTATGTCCTAGCAACAAAAAAATTAGAAAATCTAAAAAATGCTATTTATAATAATATACACACACAGATCAAATACATAGAAATATATCTAAAGAAAAAATACATATGGTGGCGCCTGCTTGTAGTCCCAGCTACTTAGGAGACTGAGGCGAGAGGATCGCTTGGGCCCAGGAGTTCGAGGCTGCAGTGCACTATGATCGTGCCTGTGAAGAGCCACTGCACACCAGCCTGGACAACACAGCAAGACCTTGTCTCAAAATACAAAGAAACAAATAAATAAATAATAAAACAAGGAAAAATATGTAAAAGTGTGCCACTGAAAACTATTAAAATATTAAAAAATTTATTTAAGATGACTTAAATGAGCCTAGTCATGAATTAGAAGACTTAATAATATCAATTGGCAATTGATATTATCCCCAAGTAGATTTATAGATTGAATGCAATCACAATCAAAATATCAGGAGGTTTTATTTATTTACTTATTTATTGGTAGAAACTGACAAGCTGATTTTTAAAACTTACATGGATACCTGAGAGATCTATAATAGCCAAGGAAATCTTGAAGAAGAACAAAGCTGGTAGACTTAAACTACCAGATACCAAGATTATCTGAGATACAGTAATTCTTGAAACTATGTATGATGCTGCCACTGGAAATTTTATCCCAGACCCAAAGTACCATTCGCTTAATGTAAGTTAGCTAATTTAATTCATTTTTCCTATAAGTGTATATCTGAGATCTCCATAACACCTACAGTATTTAAGTGATGTTTAAAAAGCTTCTTTATAATGACACCTAACACATTTTATGAATGACTGTTAAATCTGTTTTAATTTTTTCTTTTTCTTTCTAACCAATTTTTCAGGTGACTTCTATGAGAATAATCAAAAACTAATATCTACTGAAGTTCTTTCAGTTTAATGCAGCTTCCCTAATAAATATTATATTGCTCAAAAATAAAGTGAGCACGCTTCATACGGAAACTTTATAAGGACTGATTATAGTATGAATCTTCCTTTGCCGAGGATAATTTTTGAGGAGAAGTCTTACTAGATATTAATTGTACATATATGGTACCTGAATACTTGAACAAATGGATGTTTGCCTAACTCTTTACAAAGAAACACCCAAGTATGAAAAACTGAACACACAGAACATTTGTATCTTGGCTAAAGGCAGGAAAAAAAGCAGAATAAAATTTCAGTCACATAATCAAACTAATCCCTCAACCCAACTAATACACCTCAGAAAGGTCAAGGGCAATTCAGAAAACACTAATAACATGCAGAAAAACATAGGAAGTCTTGCTTTTAAAGAAATAATTCTCATAGTTTATAGGTAGGTAACCGAAATCATAAATATTCCTCCTCTAACACAGATCAGTTATAAATCTCACCTCCCTTTAAAACTCCTTGAATATTATTTGGTCTATTTAACTGCCAGTTAAGACCCCACAAATACAAAGATAACTGTTCACAGACCAGTGCTTCTGGGCTTATTTCCAGAAAGTTTGTTTGATACACTAGAGGTTTCTCCCTGTTTTGAAGCTTGTGGCCTAAAATTACTTTTCTTCCTGGCAGTAACTACAGTATTATTTTTAACATTAAAAAAAAACCTCCCACACTGCATTACTTGAAATTTCTAAAACTGTTTTGCTTTATACTCTAACTTTAAATAATTCATTTTTTAATGAGAAACTGTTATTACTAAGCTCCATTTGAACTTTGTGGCATGAAAATCTAATGTAGACACTTCTTTAGAAATTTTTCTTTTGGCTTGGTTAGGACCATGAACACCAATTTGGGATACCTTATAATTATTCTACTAAAATCCGAAGGACAGTCGTTTACAGTAACTAAAGGATACCTTACAATATTAGAACAAATTTGGAGTGCATATCTGTGCCTCTATTAAGACTACAACCAAAATTAACCTTAAGAGATAAATATTTATCCTACTTATTCATTCGTCTGGATGTCCTTGGTAATATCATAACTACCCAAATCTGCTTAACTATGCTATCTTTTAGGAGATGCGCTGTGAATCACGGATTTAAATTAAAAAAAAAAAACAATAAATGCTACCATGAAAAACTGTATGTTCTCACAAAGTTCACAAGCTGTGAACAAGTCCTTGAATATTTGTGTCTTATTCTTAAATTGCTAATACGATCACAGATATTATTAGAAATATGCTAATGGATGTATGTATAAACGTTAAGCAATGTGTAACTATAGAAAGTTTCCCTTGACATTGAATCCCTCTGAATGTATTGTTATAAATTCTAAAATATGCCATTTAAATCTTTTTTTTTTTTTTTTGAAACAGAGTCTCAAGAGTGCCGTGGCGTCGGCCTACCTCACAGCAATCTCAAACTCCTGGGCTCAAGTGATCCTTCTGCCTCAGTCTCCCGAGTAGCTGGGACTACAGGCATGCGCCACCATGCCCGGCTAATTTTTTCTATATATTTTTAGCTGTCCAATTAATTTCTTTCTATTTTTGGTAGAGACGGGGTCTCGCTCTTGCTCAGGCTGGTTTCGAACTCCTGAGCTCAAACAATCCGCCCGCCTCGGCCTCCCAGAGTGCTAGGATTACAGGCGTGAGCCACCGCGCCCGGTCCTGCCATTTAAATCTTAAACAGTATTTTCAAAATGTGTTAACTAGACAAATTTATTTCATCCTCTGTCTTTCTATTATATCAGAGGCAAGAACAAAGAGACGTAGCCTCAGTTGCTTGAGGCCATAGCACAAAGTAGATCTAGGGGTTACCTTTAGAGAGCTCAGTTCTCTATTGTCATTATCAGCAACATCAGTGATTTCCATTCTTGACAGGCACTCAATCACCTAGGGCACTTTTTAAAAATTCAGATTTCTGTCCGGGTGCAATGGCTCACACCTGTAATCCTAGCACTCTGGGAGGCCGGGGCGGGAGGATCATTTGAGCTCAGAAGTTCAAGACCAGACTGAGCAAGAGCGAGACCCCGTCTCTACTAAAAATAGAAAGAAATTAACTGGACAACTAAAAACATATAGAAAAAATTAGCCAGGCATGGTGGTGCATGACTATAGTCCCAGCTACTTAGGAGGCTGAGGCAGGAGGATCGCTTGAGCCCAAGAGTTGGAGGTTGCTGTGAGCTAGGCTGACACCACCACACTCTAGCCCAGGCAACAGAGTAAGACTCTGTCTCAAAAAAAAATAAATAAATAAAATTCAGATTTCTACTAGTGGCAGTTTGAAATGTATTTATCTCTATACTTCCTCTCCAAATCCTAATAAAATGGCAATTAAAAAATTAAAAAAAGTATAAACCCACAAGAATAAAAAGAATGAGAAAGAAGACAACAGCTGATAAAAGATGCTGACAAAATTTCAGAAAACAGAAAGTAGACAGAAAAAAGTAAGAAACACTTAGCAGGCTAGAGAAAGCAGAAACCTCAATGTCTGTAGGGTTGAGAGTGCAGGATCAACAATGGCAAGTTGGTTTCAGCCATAAAATCCTACAAAAGCTCAGGAATTCAAGGACCACTGAAAGTGTGGGTGAAGAGTGGGACTGAAAACAAAGTTTTAAAAAGTCTGGATAAGAAACAGAGCTCCTTATCCCCATCCCGACTCCACATTACGAAGGCACTGCCACTTCAACAGAAGACGGGAGATTTACTCTCTAGGGAAAACGAACCAGTGAGGTTCCAGGCACATGCAGGGAAGGGGTGAAGCATCATAGTAGAACCCGGAGGATTACGTGAGTGTCTACTCTTTGACGCCATTGCTGTTAGTTAAATGCGCTGTGCTCAGCAACAGAAAGAAAAACAAGGAAGATATTTAACTGTAACTGTTCTACCAACCCTACTACTAATTATGGTTTTTTAATCCACTCCTTTCTGGAGAGAGCTATAGAAATGGTGGAACATCTAATAAATCTCTACTATGAAAGAGATTTTCAGTTCCCTACTACTCAAGTCATGTTTGTTAAAGCAGGTTTCGGCAAACTGCATAACAGCACAGTATGATGAACTGAGACCCCTTACAGCTCTGGGGCAAGAAGTTAAAACATTTTAATTGGGTATCAAAGGCAATGTTCACATTTGATTAATTCCAGTAACAGAATCCTCCTCATGTCACCAACCCTACAATTTTTTTTTTAAGAAGAAATAATTTGTTACATTTAATTGTGTACCTAAAAAGAAAATGTGTGAGAAAAACAACTTATTACATGTGGAGCTACCGTAGGGTACAAAGATCTGCCCTTGCAGTACTTGGAAAGCTTGGATTTTTTTACTGTTGTAACAACTTTTCATGTTATAAATTATTCTAAGGCTTAACAACTGTCTGAATCAGAAAGAAATAAGAGAAGCCATGCATAAACTGGAAAAGTTACTATATCCTGAAAGCATTAATAATGAGTATTATTCCAGTTAAAACTGCTATTTGTAAAAGAGAATCCTCTTGATAAAAATATATCAAACATTAAGCTATTACTTATTGGATGCATTTACCAGTGGAATGGCATGTGCCACTGCTCCAAGGACTACCCAAGTCCATCCCTCCACACCCAACTTTATTTTGCCATTCACTCCGAGCCAGCAGGCCTTGGGCACCAAGACAAGGTCACGAACCTTCTCCCTCAGTCGCATCCGAACGGTCCAACTTGGCTTCCTTATGTTGTCCTTCTGCCACCTTCACAGCAACGGCTCGGCAAATGGCCCCAAATTTTCTATCCAAAGAACGAACCCCTGCCTCTCTGGTATACCTGTCATCAAAAAAAATATTTGATTTTTGGCTAAATACCACCCGTACTGACAGAAGTAATATAATTAACATTTTTACTAAAGAAACAGTGTACATTTAAAAGTTCATTACCCTTTCGTGAGTACGAATTTCTCCACACTTAAAACTTCTCATTAAAGTATTGTTATTTCTTAAATATTCAGATGTATTTTCAGCCACAACTATTTCCTTTATACATATAATCTTGGACTATTCCCCTATACCTAAAAATGAATCCTTAATTGTTTAATTTATATTGCCAAAGTAAATTTGGCAGCACATAAAACATTTACTCCTTAATGATATGTTTAAGAGTTTTTTAAAAATTTGTCAATTTAAGAAAATTCTAGATAAATTTATCGTACTTGAAATACTGCTGAAAGAATCAGGAAACTACACTCTTTGTCGAACCAGATAAAAAATGAATCTGAGACAGAAATCTGGTTTTTACTATTAATAGGAACTGTGCTAATCACCTCCATTCAGTGTATTTTCATTGTGAAGATTTCTAAAGGAAGAAAGTATCCTAAGGAATGCAAGTACTGTGATGTTGCGTAAAAGATTCTACATGTGGTTAAGCAGACCTTCTTAAAAAACATTTATGTTAGAATCAAATTCCATAAGTCATTCCATAAACCGTTATACAGTGCAACCGCCGTTTCTGTCCACCCAGCTTTGGATGGGCTTGAATGGGCAGCATCAAACAGAGAATGCAGTTTTATCTGGAAAACTGGATTTGATTAGGCAGTCAGACATATACAGTAGATTTTAGGGAAGCAGATTTTAAATGTTCTGAGAAAAGACAGATAAAAGGTCTTAGCTAAATACTCTCAAGTAAAACTCATTTCAATCAAAGGCATCAAAGGATATAAAATAAAGTCCATTTTATTAATATATGACTGCATACAATTTCAATAAGAAAATAGAGAGGCATCTTAAAAATAAACAAATCAGCATTTAAAAATAAAACCAAAAACCCAACGTAGCTTCCTGGACAACTATTGGATCAGTGCACGTTAAAGGGTCTGGAAAAAAGACGACAGCAAGGGCAGAGGAAGCTCATGAACACGCCATGAACATGCAGAGACGGAGCCAAGAAGTTCAGAATGAATTGGAGCTTGCCAAAAACAGTAAGGACAACAACAACAAAAAATATTCCTTTAAAAATGTATTTAGAACAATAATGGGCTAGGAAGTAATGCAGACAGTATGCAATTAACAGTTGGCCAAACAAAGTAGACATACCAGTCCCTATCTGCTATCTTTAAACTGAAAAGGGAAGAATCACCAGGGTCAAATAAGAACTGGTTGATGTTTCTCACAATAACATGAACATAATAATGCTATAAATGCTGATTTTCGGAGGACATAAAACTAATGTATCTGATGATAATTAAGATAAAATAATCAATTTGCTGGTAGATGAAACTAACAATAACATACATATAATTACAAACTTCGACATTTGGGCTTTAAAAAATTCAACTCCATAAATGTAGAATGGGACATACCTAGCTTACCATTAAAATTCATTAAAAAGGCAAGAGAATAATCTTTAAACAGCTAAGAATCTAGGTCGGGTGCGGTGGCTCGTGCCTGTAATCCTAGCACTCTGGGAGGCCAAGGCGGGTGGATCGCTCAAGGTCAGGAGTTCTAGACCAGCCTGAGCAAGATCAAGACCCCGTCTCTACTAAAAGTAGAAAGAAATTATCTGGACAACTAAAGATATATATCGAAAAAATTAGCTGGGCATGGTGGCGCGTGCCTGTAGTCCCAGCTACTCAGGAGGCTGAGGCAGAAGGATCGCTTGAGCCCAGGAGTTTGAGGTT